AATATGAAGATGCAAACTCTTATTCGAATACCTCTCATAATCTAGTTGAGATTATAAAACATGCATACCAAGGATGTTAAGGAAGTGATGTATGTCATTTAGGGTGACATAAAAGATTGGAAGGTTCATGCCCAACTGTGGTCGTCAGTGAAGGCTTTAAGGAGGTAAAACCATGGGCTAAACCATGGAAGTTGGGTTGGATTTGGATAAGCAGAAATGTGGTGGGAAGGAATTTCATGTAGGGATGAAGGATGAGGCTTACAGCTGGATAAGAGTCAAGTCTGTCTGGAGAACTAGGAGATTCATTTTGCTAGAACAAGCTACATAATGAGTGTGTTCTGTAATGAGGAAAAGTGGAAAGATGCTAAATGTGGGGCTCCTTGGATTTTTTTTTAAAGTTTATTTTGAGAGAGAGAAAGAGTGAGTGGGGGAAGGGTAGTGAGAGAATCCCAAGCAGGCTCTACACTGTCAGCAAAGAGCCCAACATGGAGCGCAAACCCACAAGCTGCAAGATCATGACATGAGTTGAAGTCAGACGCTTAACCAACTGAGCCACCCAGGAGCCCCAGATGTTCAGTGTTGTGGACTTTGTTCTATAGGCCAAGAAGCTATCAAACCCTTTTAAACAGAGAGGAGATTATACCAGAACAGTGGTTTAGTATGATTAACCTGGGAGCAGTGGGCCTGGAAAGTAAACCAGAGGCAGAACAAATGTTTAGGAGCCAATGGAACTAAGTTACTGAGTAGAGCTTTTTTTGGGTCTAATTTGATAGCTACTAGACATTTGTGGCTATTGATCACTTTTTTTTTTTTAGTTTATTTTTTTGAGGGTGGGCATCTGGGTGGCTCAGTCTGTTAAGTGTCTGACTTCAGCTCAGGTCATGATCTCATGGTTCGTGGGTTTGAGCCCTGCTTTGGGCTCTGTGCTGACAGCTCAGAGCCTGGAGCCTGCTAAGGACTGTGTCTCCGCCTCTCTCTGCCCCTCCTCTGCTCATGCTTTCTCTCTCTCTCTCAAAATAAAATTAAAAAAATAAAGATGGTGATTTTTATATATAGAAATGAATTTCCCAGTGTGTCTAAGGGAAAATTTCTGTGAAAAAAGGGTTCCAAGGTCAACTACATTTGGAAGATAGCTACATACCTCAGCTACCTCTTGGAGGTTCATCATGCCCTTCAGAATACTAAAGCTTTAAGAAAATGACTTAAGTTTGCCTTATATTTCCCAAACTTACTTGAGCACAGTGGTAAGCTATTCGTTGCTATCTGGTAATAGTATCCAAATCAGGGATATTTAGTTAAAGATAAGTAGGCCTTGAGCTTGAAAACAGAAAAAATGTTCAATCCTTTCAATATTTGGGAAAGTCTGAATTGTTCTAAATTCATTACATTTCTTCTTCGATTTTCTGTCTCTGTTCTCCTGAGACAAGTTGAGCTTTATTTCTGAAAGCAGGTAACATTCATATTGCCTGTGAACTCTGGTGAGACCAGAATGCCACATGCTAGCTATTCTCTGTGTGAATGTGCACATGCACATATAACACGCATCTCTATCCCTCTTCAGTAGTGGATTCTGGGCCAGGGGCCAAGCCTTGGAAGAATGTCTAGGGGCTTAACAACTTCATGTTCTTACAGTTTTTTGTCCTTTGGGAGAGATAATAGGCAAGGTTTTCCCAAATTCTCCATGCCATTATACTCTGGAAAAAAAGACCTGTGCCTGACAGGGGCCTGATCCTATGCTCTTCATTTCCCTGGCACCAATATAGCCCAGTGAAAGGAGAGAGAACTTGGTCTATAAACCTCTGTGGCTTGGGACTTTTGTGGTCACGCATTTAAGTTCTTTTACACTCCAGTTGCTCTACTTTAGCTGCACAAGACCTCACAGGCAACTCAGGGAGGGTCTGTCCCCTGGCTCTTAGAAAGCAGTAAAAGATGAGGATGTGAATCTACTCACATCCTCTGGGGTCCAGAGGGCAGACTGTGGGCCCTAAGATCGCCTCCAATGACTCTCTCCCTCCTGCTATTCATGTCCTTGTGTAGGGCCACTTTGAAGAGGGCTGATCTGCATAATAATAGGGTATTGGCTATTACAATAGGCTGTTGCAGAAACAATGGAAGTATGACTTCCCAGGCTAGATCTTAAAAGATATTGCAACTTGTGCATGTTTTTCCTTGAATCATTAGCTTTGGGATCCCTGGTGTCATGTTGTGAGGACATTCAAGCAACCCTATGAAGAGGCCCATGTTGTGGGAGCCGAGGGCTCTTGCCAACAGCCAGGACCAGCTTGCCAGTCATGTGAATAAGCCATCTTGGAAGTGGGTCCTTCAGACCGTATGCCCTCAGCTGACTGCAACTTCATGAAAGACCCGGAGCCAGAGCCACCCAGCTAAATCACTCCCAAACCCTTGACCTACAAAAACTGAGATAGTATATATTCATTACTGTTCTCAGCCACTAAGTTTTGGGGTTATTTCTGACCTAGCAGTAGGCACCTAATATGGTCGATGTGTATTCTGTATGATGTTTTGTCACTGAAATGGCACTACATTTGCAAATCATTACTTTAGAATTTGATTAGTTCCTCTGAAGCACTGTGCTTATTATGATCTCTGTGCTTATTCCGATGTGTATTCCAGAAAACTGGTTTCTCCCTACGGGTAAATAACAGACAAATGGTAAAAAACTTAATGATGCTGTCCCTCTAAATGATGCTGTGTGTTATAATAACTGCAGAGAAAGGAAACCTTTTTTTTTTTTTTAATTTTAATGTTTTTTATTTTTTGAGAGAGAGACAGAGTGCTAGCATGGGAGGAGCAGAGAAAGAAGGGGAGACACAGAATCCAAAGCAGGTTCCAGGCTCCGAGCTGTCAGCACAGAGCCTGAGGTGGTGCTCAGACCCACAAACGATGCTGAAGTTGGGCACTTACCCGACTTGAGCCGACCAGGTGCCCCAAAAAGGGAACCTCTTAATTGCTACTTTCACTGACTTTTGGGGGGAAAAATCTAAGCTTAATTATGGGCTTACTTTGCTCTAGGACAAATCTTCATTTTTTAAAATAAATGCTTTGTTAAGTATAAGACACATAGAGAAAAGTGCACAAGTGAACATCTGGATGAAATATTGCAAAGTGAACACACTCACGTAGCCATCACCTAGACCAAAGAACCTGAACAATACCAGCCTTACAGAAGTCTAATCTGTTGCCCTCTCCTGACCACTCTCTTCCCCTTCCCCCGGCCCCCAAACACCATCATTCTGACTTCTCACATTTATTAACGTTGAACTTCATGTCAATCACATGGTATGCATTCTTTAGCGTCTGGTTTCTTTTGCTCAGTTTGTTTGCATTTTTACTTTTAGGATTATAAACATCTTGCCTAACTGCCATTAGTATACGTTTCATCTGTTATTTTGCATAAGCTTTAATGATAGGCACACACTAAGTTTACACCAGGGAATGAAGAAACATACATTTATTTAAGATGACAAAAAGCCTTCCAGTAATTTATGGGAATTTTACTGAATCTGTGCCTTTTGGTAACTGTAATGCAGAGACTGGCTGAACTTCTCAGGAATCGGGGCTCTATCATTTTTTAAGCTGTGTGCCTCTGCTTAAGTTGCCTCATCATCCAAGTGTTGCTGGGAGGATGAGATGACATGTAAGGGCACTATGTACACGGCCAAACAAAAAAAACCAAAATACCACAACCCCCCCTCCAAAAAAAAACTACACCTATTTTGGTTGTTTTGATATTGGGGTTCATCTTGGCAGCCTTAGGTGATGATTCTTGATTCCTCGGGATGATCGATCAGAGCTCACAGACTTGGATGAAAGCTCCCTCAGGTCAAGGAGGACCAGTGTGGTGAGGTGTAGGCAGAAAGATAAGCAACACTAGGGACTGAGATTTTGAAGGCTAGGTACAGGTGTTCTTAGTTCTTGTAGGATCCATCTGGGGTGGCTTCTTGCAGGAGCAGGGATTTCCAGTTTTGGATGTAGGGTTTTCAGGGTTATTCCTACAATGAGGGGAACTAGTTTGGAGTGAGCATGGTTAATTCTATTCAACAGACAAGGGAGAAGCTCATCTTCCTCGTTCGTCAGCCGGCTACTAGCAGTTATTACGCGAAAAGTAAAGAAAATGAGGGCTATCACTCAAGGGACATTACAGTGTCCTGGGGGTGGGGTCGGGTGGGGAGGGGAGGCACTTATGAAACTCATAGTCCTGTTAAACTTCATGGAGAGAGTGCCTTGGGGTACAGAGCAAGGTGGGATCATTTGGAGAAGGGACGGTTGGAAGGGCCTTTGGTAGGTGTGAATGGTCAGTATCTCAGGCCTGGAGGGGACTGTGATCTCGCCCTCCAAAAGGGAATATTATTAGCGCGCGGAGACGCACTACCCCCCCCCCCCCGCCTCCAAACCCACGTTTCAAGGCAGTCACCAAATCCTCCATGTCCCCCGAGTGGACCGTGATCTCGCCCTCCAAAAGGGAATATTATTAGCGCGCGGAGACGCACTCCCCCCCCCCCCCCGCCTCCAAACCCACGTTTCAAGGCAGTCACCAAATCCTCCATGTCCCCCGAGTGGACCGCACAGAAAAGGAATCCAGAGTGTCCTTCAAAACGCCAACCCTACTCCTGGACTCTCACACCCCCTCCTTCAGCACTGGAGGGTGGCGTAGGATTTATAACCCACCTCTTTCTTCCAGTTGCCATGGAGACCAGCCCCAGACCTTTCTTTCCTTCTGGTACCGGGAACATTTCTCCAACGCAGGCGGAATGGAGGGGGCTTGGCCCAAATACGCCAGTGGCAGTGCTAAGGGAGAGGGTGGTAAAAAAGAGCGTGGAGGGCCTGGCGGTCTCGACGGCGGCGGCGGCGGCACCAGGCCGAGGGACAAAGGCTAAGGTCAGCCGCGGTTCAAACCCTTCTGTCTGCCAACAACTAGTGGCCAGACGCTTGGGGGACACACTGCTGGGCTGCAAGAGGGCGCGGGTAGAAGGAGAGGGATGCAGCAGCGGTGCGGGACTCTGAGGCCAGGTCCCCCCCCAGGGTCTTCCCCCCTCCCCCCGCCAGCCGTCAGCAAGTGCGGGCGGGTGCGCCGACCCCTCTACCCACACGTCCATTGGGCGGCGCCGCCATCGCTCTCCGCTCAGCAACACCGCCTTCTTCGCGGCCAAGCTCCGATCCCCTCCCCCGCCACTCTCCGCCCCTCCCCGTCCTGGGAGCCTTTCATTGGACGGGGGCGCGGTCGATCCGCCTCGAGTGAGGGAGACGATTGGACGCGAGGCCTTCGGGCCGCCCCCAGCCTATTTGGATTGGCTTGCGGCACGTTGGCGCAACGGAAGAGGCGGCCGGCGGAGGGGGCGCTTCAGCTTGCGCTGGACTGCCGCGGAGGAGGCGACGAGGGTTTCGGCGCTGGGGGACTGGCTGGCGCGGCAGCGGTGGCTGCTGCGGATGGGAGCGGCCCGGCTCGGCGTGCCCATGGAGCGCCACGGCAGAGCGGCCGACACCTCCGCCTCATCGGCGGGGGAGCCGGGGCCCGAAGGGCCTGATGGGCGGCGGCGGGAGCTGCGGCGCCGGGCGAGTAGCGCGTCGGAGCCCCCCGTCGGGTCCTCTGCCTCGGCTTCGGCAGGGGGCATTAGGCGAAACCGGCCCGGCTCCTACAGCGGCGCTCCCTCGGTCTCCCGCCAGCGTGTGGAAAGCCTCAGGAAGAAGCGGCAGCGTAAGTGCCCGGGGGGTCGTCCTCGCGGCTCGCCCTGCCCCCTTCCGGCGCGGCCGCCGTTTTTCCCGCGCGCTCGCGTGGGGACAGTGCCCCCGCACGGTGGTCCCAGGTTGGTGCACGGGCTGACACCCGGCTGGAGGCCTCGGGTCCAAGTTTGGGGGGTTGGGGTCGGGCCCCCGCCCAGACCTCGCGCGCAGTGGTCCGCTCTTGCGGGTGGTGGAAGTGGAGGGTCTTTACCCCGGACCCTTTCTCCCTCTCCTTAGCTCTTTGGGCATTCTTTGCCCGAGAATCACATGATTTTATCGTCGAGAAGGCTTCTTTTGACTCATTTCCACCGCCTCCCCTCCCCCCGAGTCCTTTGAATCCCCCATGTCTGTTTTCCGTGGGTCCCCAAGAGCTATGTCCAAGACGTTAAATCCCGTTAATCTGTAGATTTCGCCCTTCCTGGAAAATGGTTAAGTGGCCCTTGAGTTGCTGCAGGCCTAAAACTGGATTCCGTGTTCTGTGCACTTAACCTTTGTCTGCTTTTCCTACTGTGAGAATTCGGGTCATCTCTCGTCCAGATATCTTTATTTTCTTTGTACCTATTTGCTGATACTCACGATTCAGCCTGTAGCGTTCTGGGCATTAAGGCTTTTTCTTTTGAGGGAATCTCGCCTTGGCAGTTGCACATGCTCTTTGCGGAGGGAGAATCGGTTTCTCCATTTTCTTATCAGGCTGCTTTTTCCTGCGTTGTGACCTAGTCCAAATATTTTCAGCCCTTTAAAGGTGACATCCTCAGTCTAGTAGCTATTGCTATTGTTGAAAGTATCCACTGTCTTAATACTCTAATATAAGCTTTATCATTTAGTGACATTTTACATATGGTTAGGTTTTTTTTTTTTTTTTTGGTCTTGTTGCCAAATTCCTTTCAGGAAATCCGCTTGTTTTAAACGCAGGTTATGAGAGTGAGAGAAAGTGGCAGCATGAGTGTGAGGTCTTTATTGGATGGTCTTGTACCTCGGCCCAGCCACCTGGTTGCTTTACTTTCGTCTTAACATTATTTGGATGATTAAATGTTAAATGTAGCCCTGTTTTGCTGTGAAGAATTTGGGAGTCTGAATTATTTTGTCTTTTCCTGTCTTGAAAGAAATCTGGAAAACAGATTAACTGCTCTCAGTCTGTACCATTTTTAGAGCCAGTTACCTGGTTTGTGTTTTATTTGAGAAGCACCTGTTTTTTAGGTACTGCAAAACATTAGTTAATGGCTTTGTACTACATTATTAGAGATGGATGTAAATTCCAGAGATTCACAGCCATTTAGCCAGCTGTCTTTCAGCTGTTGGCAATAAGAATTCTAAGTAAGTATTGTAGTTTGGGTGTTTGTGGGGGGTCAGGCACTCTACTGAGAGCTTTAATAACTCAGTACTCATAACTTGTATTCCATTTTACAGATGAGAAAACGGTGGTCTATTTGCCCCTTGTCAAAAGACTTGTGAGTGGGTGGCATAGAAATGTAAATTCAGGAAGTCCAGCTTCATACATCTTCTCAACCACTATGCTTTATTGAACTGTGCATATCCTGTTAGCAGTTACTTCTTTGCTCTAAGGCCAAGCACAATCAGCATCTTTTGTGTTCAAGGCTTACTTGAGGTGAAAATTACTAACTACTGTGGAAGTACTTCCAAATTTTCAACATAAAAATGACCTTGGGAGTTAAAAATGCGAATTTCTTGGGTCCAACTCCCATCTTTTTGAGACAGAATCTGGAGAAGGTTCTAAGAAGCTGCGTTTTAACAAACTCCTTGTATCATTTATATAAAGGTGGCTCAGAGACACCTCTGGAAAACTCTGGTTTAGACTGTATTGGGGGTGGGTGGGGTGTGTAAGGTGGTTTTGAGGTATCATTTTACTTTTTTATCTTTTTTATTTTTTTAAAAAATATTTTTATTTCTAGGAGAGAGAGAGAGAGAGAGACAGCATGAGCAGGGGAGGGTCAGAGAGAGAGGGAGATACAGACTCTGAAATAGGTTCCAGGCTCCGAGCTGGCAGTCAGCACAGAGCCTGACGAGGGGCTCGACCCCATGAACTGCGAGATCCTGACCTAAGCGAAAGTCGGACGCATAACTGACTAAGCCACCCAGGCGCCCCTTACTTTTTTATTTTTAAAGAGAGTGCACGTGCAAGAAGGAGAGGGGAGAGAGAATCTCCAGCAGGCTCCATGTGGTGATCATGACCCGAGCCGAAATCAAGAATTGGCCGCAAAGGGGCACCTGGGTGGTTCAGTCGGTTAAGTCCCTGACTTTAGCTCAGGTCATGATCTCACAGCTGGTAAGTTTGTCGGGCTCGGTGCTAACAACTCAAAGCCTGGAGCCTGTTTTGGATTCTGTGTCCTTCTCTCTCTCTGCCCTTCCCCCACTTGCACTCACCCTCTCTCTGTCTTAAAAAAAAAAAAAAAGAATTGGGTGCTTAGACTGAGCCACGTAGGTGTCCCTGACATATTTTTTAAGGAACCAAGGCTAATCACATTGTTGGATTTATTTATTTATTTTGGTTTTCATGTCTGGTGTTTGTCACGGTAGCCTTTATTACTTTCTCTGATAAATCATGAATAGCCATCTCTCAGGTAATGAGATCTGTTAAAGAAATATACAGGGTATTTCTTCCTTCTGTTTGTTTTTTCTGTTACTATCCAGGGGTGCATCTGTTAGAGGGAGAGGCAGCCTGTTGATTTCTGAACCCTCCAAGAATGATTTCACCTTTGAGAGAATTAAATAAAGACTAAGTCTCTGTATTTATATTTGGCAAAGTTGGGTAGGGGGTGGTGCCATCGTTCTTTGGAGGTTAGAGAGCCTCGTTTAGATGTCCTTAAACTACTTGTTTAAAAGTAGGAAACTAGTTGCCATTTGAAACTAGAAGGAGCTATTCAGTTTATCTTAGGAATTCTTGTAGGCCCTGGTTATAGTCAAGTTCTGTCACACATGTTCATTAGAACAGTGTGATTCTCGAACCTGTTCCCATCCCAGACTTACAAAGGCATTAGGGATGAGGCTAGGCATGTCTGTGTCTAAGAAGTTCTTCAGAAGTTTTAGGTTAGATGGAGTATGTCTCACAGGACAGAGAAGTACCAAGTAAAGATTGATTTAAAATGATGGAAACAAAGATGCTAATGATGTAGTGCTTACTTGTTTGTGTTACACAGTGTCAGATATGTTAAAAACCTGTCTTGAAGTCTCACAGTTACCTGTGTGGTAGGTATTTTCTTATCCCCAGTTTCCAGATGAGGAAACTGTTAGTGAAATTTTTCTTTTGTTCAAGGGCATGTAGTGAGTTAATAATGGAACTGTGTTTTGATTCTAGGGGTCTGACTTTCAGACCAGTGTTCTTGACTTTCCCTATTTTTGAGTGGTGGGAAGGTACATGCAGTGTACCTTCCAGAACCCAGAACAGTGGTTCTCACATGGAATCACTTAGAAGCTTAAAAAAAGAAAATCAGGTCGGCAAACGGGTCTAAGAACATGCATCTGTTAATTTATAAAATTTTTTTTTAATGTTTTATTTATTTCTGAGAGAGAGACAGTGTGAGCAGGGGAGGGTCAGAGAAATGTTTTATTCATTTCTGAGAGAGAGAGAGAGAGAAAGACGGCGTGAGCAGGGGAGGGTCAGAGAGAGAGGGAGACACAGAATCTGAAACAGGCTCCAGGCTCTGAGCTAGCTGTCAGCACAGAGCCCGACGTGGGCCTCAAACCCATGAACCATGAGATCATGACCTGAGCCAAAGTTGGACGCTTAACCACCTGAGCCACCCAGGCGCCCCATAATGTTTATTTCTATTTGAGACAGAGCGTGAGTGGGGGAGGAGCAAAGAGAGAGGGGAGCAGAGGATCTGAAGCAGTCCTCATGCACACTGACAGCAGAGAGCCCAATGCAAGGATTGTACTCACAAACTGTGAGATCATGACCTGAGCTGAAGTTGGTCACTTAACCAGCTAAGCCACCTAGGTGGCCCCCCACCTTTTTTAATGCATCTGTTGAGTTTTAAAAATTTTTACTGAGGCATAATTACCTACAGCAAAATGTACATTTTGACAAATGCATACAGGCACTTCACAAGAGAACATGCATTTTAATCAAGGGTCTCAGATGTGCAGTAGATGTGTTGGAGGTGTGGGAACCTGAGATGAGAGTACTCCGTGTGTGTGTGCGCGCGCGTGCGTGTGTGCGTGCGTTGGGGGCGAATGACCTGGACTCTTGAAGGTGATTTCAAAGCATGAGGTATGTTGTAGCACTCCAGAGAGATCTTTGGGACATGTTGATTTTCAACTCATATTAGTCGTGGAATATCATTTCCATTGATCTAGAAAATAAAGCTTTTAGGGGAGCCTGGCTGGCTCAGTTGGTAGAACATGTGACTCTTGGGGTTGTGAGTTTGAGACTCACTGGGGCTGGGTGTTGAGATTACTAAAAAGAAAACCAAAAAACAAAAATGAAAAACTTAAAAAAAACCAAACACTTTTGTTTGTAGCCTGATAATGCCAGCCCAGCAAATGGATTGCTTTTCCTTGGCTTTTGGGGAGCATCAGTGTTGGCAGAAAGGAATTGATGCTGGGGCCCTGGGAGACTGTCCCTTACTAGGTGCAGTGTTTCATTTTCAGTTAGGGAATTAGGGAAGGCTGCCCATTAGGAGCTCAGTAAAAAGGATTTCTGTTGCTTTGTAGACTATGTTTGAGATACAGAATGGGAGAGAGGATGCTTTTTAACCTTTTTACTCAACTTTAAGTCGAAATGAAGTCAAAGTAAACCTGTCCCTTTACTTTGGTTGTTTAATGAATGTGAAGCATTAAGCAGGGCCCAAAAATAATGGAAGTATGCAGCAGTGCAAAATGGTACAGTATGATATTTTAGGGGCTATATATATATGAATCGTGCATTTAGGTAATATGATTGTTCAAACAGTGTTAGCATCCCCACCCTCTTTTGTCTAGGGGATACCATAAACGAGAAGTGATGTATGCTATTAA